AAAGACGGAGACGTAAAATAAATGTGATCGTCCACACGAATGCATGAAAACGCTGCAAAATGTATGCCAGGCCTGTAAGTGGCGCTGTGGTGCCAAAGCAAAAATAGGCGACGAAATGTTGCGCACTAATATTTATACATGTCGCGCATGCGTGTTTAGAGGCGACGCTATGACGCATGCGTGTAAAAAAAAAATGCGGTTAGAGCTTAAAGATGGAAACGCGAAAACGGCGTTTCAAAATCTTCCCACTCTGAAGGCTGAATAAAAAAAAGATCGTTTACAGACCCCCGAAACGCCGGCTTCGCGTGGATGAGAGGCTGGTTTGGTGAAAAATTTGTGCGTTTAGGCCAGGGTTTGGCTTCGTGTGGACGGGGCCTAAGCAGCAGGGAGGTCCATCCTCCTAAGCACATTACTAGTCAGATGCAAATCAAATACCCAGCTCTTTTTTAATAGGTTGTTGAAGTCTTTTGTTATGCATGGGTTCTGTGATTGGCCTTTTAAAATCACCCTTATGCAATTTTTTTGGAATGACTCCAATGGCTGAATTGTAAATGTTTGGAAGCTGAAACCACAATCCTCACCCCTCTGTTCAGTGATGACTTTTGTCTTTTCACAAAGATGGCTTCATTCAGCCCTCTTTCAAATCATCTGTCCTCTCTGTCCAGAATCTGCAAATTTTGATCTTCAAAGGTGTCTCCCTTGTGCTTGAGGAACAAGTGTACAGATGAATCTTGCCCAGAGTAACTGGCTATCCTATGCAGCTCCATGAGGTCATGTAATTATTGTTTGATCTTGCTAGATTAAAAGGCTGTTAAATCCTGGCTACACTATATTGCATAAAAGTGCTACCCAGTTTAGGGTTGGATGTTCAGTTTTTGTTTGAATGTGTTTTTGGGTTTGAAATTCACCGGTATGTTGCGTTTTGTGAAAATCCATACATATGGAATTACAATGTTCTTGTTCTTACAATGTTTTTTGGTCTCTCTGTTTTCTTCTCTGTGTTAGATGCAGAGGTTTTTCTTCCGGCTAGTTATGATTTTAACTAATAATGAATAATTGTTTTTACCCTCGATTTGAATGACTTATCAATTAGCTATAATTTTCAATATGTAGTAATCTTCTGGTAAGCACAGCACTCCTCTATAATTGAGGTAATATTTTGTCAGCCTAGTAACTCAGGGTTCTGATAACAGAATCTGTATGTTCTGGAATGCATTTGTAATTTAACCCTCTTTTATGGTTGCCATGACCGGATGACAGAGAATTTACACAAGCATGTCTTTTATAAAATGTTTTTTTTTTTCTTTCTTTTTTTTTCCATGCTTGCAGCTCTTTTAAAGCGTCCAGCTTTCTGGAATGCAAAACTAATAGCTGTGTTGTCAAAAGAATCTCCCACCTTTGTTTCATCTCTGCAGTTACTGCAGAGCTACTGTTGACATCGCAGCTGTTTCTAATTAACGTTCTTCTTGCCTGAATGGTGGTTCTGTTTTTTTCCCTTAATATTTCACTTTTCAGATGATGGATTAAAAAATACATAGTGATATTTTTGAAGCTTGGTTTATAGTTTTTTGTTTTAACCTTAGCCTGTTTAAGCTCTTCTGCTTTTATCCCCCATAGTGTTGTAGTCAAAACCACACCAACCAAGACCAAGGAGTACCGATAACCAAGACCAAGATCTTATATGGTTGATGTGGTAATAATTGCAACACTAACTGACTTATTACCTGTGTTTCATGGTATGGTTGCACTATAGATCAAAAACATATCATTATCAGGATATTGGTGTGTGCAATTTTGATATGCAAAGGACTAATCGCATTCAAGTGATTGTTTAGTAATAATAATTAATTACATGCTAATAATTAGCCAGTTGGAGAGAGTGTAAAGGCAACAGATGCTCTCATTGGATCAAAAAAAGCCATTGCCTAAAATGCAGAAGAAGCACAGCTATTAAAGAGAGTAACAAATAAAGTAGGCATATACTGAGAGTGCAAATATATATTTACCAATATTATGTGGCACAATATTTTCTAATTAGTGCAGCCCTTGTGTTTAATAATGCAATAAGCAAACATCTGAATCCTTCACTAAACAAATGCATTTATAGAGATTAAATGGCATGTAGGTAGCTATTTTTATTGATTTTAAGAACTCTATAGCTTTTGTGGGGGTATTTGAGTAGTGCGAGATGTATAATGATATTTTATTGGAAAAAACAAACAAAACACAAACACTGAATACTTAGTTACTTTACTCTAGTGTTTGCAGATTATGCACTTGAATATAAGACCAATATGTGTAGCTCATATACCAGAAAACTCCAATGCAGAAGATATATCCTCTGCTTTATTCAAGCAGATAAAATACTGAAATCACTATAGATTATTAAAAGCCGTATATAAACCTCTGTCATTTTCTACCTGATCCCTCTGTGACCAATTAATCAGCATGAGAAGCACCGTCACTCTAGTTCAAAGAATTCAATATAACAACCTACAACTACCTGCCTCTCCTGTCCGAAAAATCATTTTTAATTGTCTCATTAAAAGCTGTAGCGGCTCAGTGTTGGGAAAACAATAACAGTGCTGTTTTTGCTTGAATGCAGCAGATCTTTAATGATTTCCACTTACCTGTGCAAAGCTGAGAGCCCAGATGTCCCTTTATAACAACAGCAACCCACTTGGTTTGTTAAAATCACTGCAAAAAAAAAAAGGAAAAAAAAGTAGAAAACCACAGAAAAGTTAGGTCACTTTGAAGGAGTGAGCCGGTATCACACAGCAGTCAACAAAACAAAACATGGACCTCATTAAAAGTACTGTCATCAAAGATTAGAACTTTTTCTGTTATTGGCCGACTTACTAAATATTTTGGCTGTCAAGTATGCTTTTTCTTAGTTTAATACTACCATCAACTTTAGATGAAAAAATGTTTTATAAGAAGACAAGTTTGCCTTAATAGTTAAACAGCTTAACAAAATACTTCTGTCTCAACAATGACACTCCAGCTCCTTCAGAGGGGTTCCAAGGTGTTCCCAGATCATAATAGAAACAGATTTCCCTATTTATTCATAAGTCTACCCTTGGTTTCAACATAGAGGGAAACACCTTCAGAATGAGGTTTCTATGAGGTATCCTAACCAGATGCACAAACAAAATCAGCTGACGTTTTGGAATACACAAGATGAGATGCATAATTCCAAAGTCTATCTGGATGAGGAAGCTTCCACCTCTAAAATTAAGTCCAGGAATCTCACAGATATGTCCCCTGTTCGGCAAACAAACGGAGGAAAAAGCCTCCAGTGATATTCAAAAAGCCTCTTTAAAAAAATCCCAGAGACTGGTTTTACTGGTTTAATTGGTATCACAACCTCCTGGAAGTGCACAACAGCTCTGTTACTGTTATTTACTATAACATGTATTGTCTTCTTAGCTTAACAAAAAAAAAAGTGATGAAAAAAAAATGCAATAATAAGTAATGTTAACAGAAAGGTTAGTTTTTAAAAATAAAATTTCAAACCAACCTTAAATGAAAAACAAAATTTATTATAAAAACCTCTATAGCGATGAATACAATAAAGTGATTAAGACATGTGTGAAACATATCTACTGTTAAGTATAGCAAGTATTTAGAGATAAGTAGTGTATTTGTTATATTTCGTTATTTTATCTTATAATTGATCTGCATATTAATATTTGACTAGGATTTAATCGTAGATAAACTAAATAATTTAGCCTGTTTGTTTCTCTATAGATTACACTGACCATTTTACCAATACCATCTCTAACAAATTCCTAAACCTCCAAAAAACTTCCCTTCTTAAGTTTTGGCTTAACATTTCAAAGCAGAGGAAGAAATGCATTTAAGTTGTTGAAGTTAACTATATTCGACCTTTTGAGCAAGTTTGTCATTTGAAACAAAATGTAAAAATGTGATTTAAAATTCCTGTAAAAAAAACATACGTTACCAGCCTGTTATGTACGGTAGAGGATTAGGGCCACTGGAATAGAAAAAAAAGTTAATTGATTTTTAAGTATTATTTCATTATAATATGAATTCTGACTTTTTTTCCTCACAATTCTGACTTAAATCTCAGAATTCTGATTTTTTTTATCACAATTTTGACTTTTATCTCAGAGTTGTAACTTTATTCTCAGAATTCTGACTGAATTCTGACAGCTAACAAACATGTTAGCATCAAGCAATCGCCATGTATGTTTTAGAGACTAAATTAGCTCTCTTGTTTTAATCACCTTCTGCTCTTCCATTAATGCACGTAAAAAGTAGCCTAATTTAGTAATTTTCTACCAAAGTGTTGCTGGCCCTCCCAAACAACTCACAACTTTGTCAGTGAAGCTGAGTGCTCCAACATCTCTACCTTCAGGGTGCCCATCTACATTAGGTTAAAAAAAAAAAAAATCAGAATTCTAAAGAAAAGTCAGAATTCTGAGAAAAAACCCTGAATTCTGAGATTAAAGTCAGAATTTTGAGAAAAAAAGTCAGAATTGTGAGATAAAGTCAGAATTCTGAGAAAAAAAAGTCAGAAGTCTGAGAAAAAAAAACTTTGAATTCTTAGATTAAAGTCAGAATTCTGAGAAAAAACTCAGAATTCTGAGATTAAAATCAGAATTCTGAGATCAAAGCAAGAATTCAAAGATTAAAGTCAGAATTCTGGGATTAAAGTAAGAATTCTGAGAAAAAAGTCAGAATTCTGGGATTAAAGTCAGAATTCCGACTTTTTTCCCCATAATAAACTAAAATAATATTTAAAAATCCGTAAACTTTTTTTCCGATTTTTTTTTCCCCGTTGCTCTACTCCTCTTCCGTAGTTTCGTTATGAAGTCTGAAACAAAAACAAAAACATCTACAGTAGCTGATGTTTTTGATTTACATTTAATTTACATCAGCGCTTCCTGACCAGCATACGTAACGGGACGTGTCACTTCAATGATTGACATGGGAAGCGACCAATGAAATCCCTCCATTGGTAACACGAAGAAAAAACTTCAGGAAGTAGCTTAAAGCAGCTATTACTGTTTAGATTTTGGCAAATGTTTCGGGTTTTAAGTGGGGATAAAAGACAACTCATACAGTTTTTCCTGTTCAGAAGAAATATGTCTACATTAGTGGATAAAAGTCGTACGACAGATGGTGAAAACAATGCGGACAACCGGTCGGTTCATTCAGATACCATCGAGGAGGTCCATAATGTTCCTCTTCAGGTCATCATCAGACCGTTTCCTCCGGAGCTGGACGAGCAGAAGGTCCAGAGTCTGATGGACACCATTAAGGTACCCTGCTCACTTTTACTGGGTAACATTTATACGGATAAATAAGCTATTTTTGGCTTGTAGGCCGAATTAGGAAGTCATTTTTAGCTGGAAGTTTCCAAATACCTTTCACATGTTTGCTTAGAAATTGCTGTGGAGAATCACTGAATTTGAACAAAAACGAACTGACTTTCTTCCAAAGCCCTCATCCCATTGCAAATAAAAATGTTATTTGATTAGTGGATTAAGTTCTGCACAAGTGATTAAAAGTCTTGCTGTTTTACAGCCACTCTTTATGATACATTTCATGCATACTTGCTTATTTTATATGCATATAGGCATATGTAAATCAAATGTATTTTGTTAATTTTTTATAAATTAAAAATGAATCTGTCCAATCTTTCAGATGCACACATGTTCTAGTCTGATAATAATCCTGACATTATATTTTGGAATAGTATATTTTTCTAAATAAGTTCTTTGTTGCTGCCTTTCTGATTGTCTAGTATGAAGTCTTTAGTTTAGCTCCTTTTTGTGCAGCAATTTCACTAATAATTCTGTTATAAAAGATATTAAGATGGTTGAAACAGAAAAAAAAATAGTTCTGTGATTAAAGACCATGCAGGTTATTTCACTTTAAAGGTTGTTTTTGTAAGACTTGCATGTCTTGTGCTTGGATGCTATTGTTTGCACTAATTGACGTTTTGCCTTTCCTTCCAGGAGACGGCAGACATCAGCGTTGTTCCTCCCATTGATGTTCTCTGGATCAAAGGAAGAGAGGGAGGAAATTACTACTACTCCTTTGGAGGTTGTCACAGGTTTGCTGCCTATCAGAGGCTCAACATGCCAACCATCCCAGCTAAACTTATTAGATCAAACATCTCAGACCTCAGGACTTACTTGGGGGCTTCAACGCCTGATCTTCGATAATACTCTGGACTTTTTTCTCGCTTTTTCTCGCTACACCAGCAATGTCCAACTCAAGTCCTTTGTTGTCGCTGTCATACAAGTTTTAACACTGTTGATTCCTATTGCAAAATCCTTTTTTCAGCATTCCTGCAGATTCTTAGTAACAAACCTCTTGTTTCATTTTTTTTTTTTTTTATTATGGGAAGACTGAAAAACAAGCTTTTATTTCAATCATCCCCTCTGGGCAGTGACCTTAAATTAAAACATCTTATAAAACAATCATGTTCCACAGCAAACATTTAAAATAAAACATAATAAAAGTTTGTAGCTGGTGGTATCACACCGAGCTGGTATATCAGATATGAGGAGAAATCTAAGAACACAATGTGATGAACTGATGTCACTCTGAGCTATGAAAGCTCAAGGAGTGGATTCATGGTGAACAAATAAATATAAATTTTCCAAAAATTACATTTTCATAAACAAAATCTCAAATTAATTAATAAAATTGATTTATTGCGCAGCCTTGGCAGGACGCCAGCTGACTTCTGACACTTAAATCTTATGATCATAAGGACTGAAGGTAGTGATACAATGCAATACACATGATTTACCAGCAGGGGGAAATAAAGAGCTGGATGTGAACAGATATTTAACTTCTATTTGCTTGTAGTTTAATAATCAAAAGTTTCTTATCAAATTAGACCATTGAATTTCTGTTTAAACACAATAAAAATAATTTTCATATTTAGATATTGTTTAGGTAAATGTTCTTTTCGTCTGTTTTTTTCCCGGGTGTTTTAGTAGTTGTGGTTTTCAAGGATTTTTAAAAAAATACAGTCTTCTTTTTATTTCATTAGACATAGATAGAGAATATATTTATAAACAGAATCGTAAATCAAGATATTTTTTATGTTAAAACAAGTTTTGGGATTTTTTGTTAAATAATTACTTATGCTCTATGCTTTTCTACTCTGGAATATTAAAGGGCAAATTGTTTTTGAATTCACTCATAAAAGTAAAAATATGTTCTATTGTTTATGCAAATAATTTTTTTATACATTTGATGTTTTCAGATGGTATTCCTGTTTCTATTTTTTTTATTTAAATTTCTATGCTCAGTCAGCTTGGACTGGGATGTTCTCTAAAGCAGAGGAGATTATGCTTGTATTTCCTGTTAAAAATACACCCAATTATCAATTCCTTCCAAATTCAATGAATATCAATGTAAAGTACTATGCACAGTTAAAATAACTGGTGTATAACAATCTATAGCACCCGTAGTTTCAATAAACATGAAGATGAAAGCCTTATGCTTTGTGTCTGTTGTTATTTTGATTCCCTGGGACTGGCTCCACTTACTAAATCAAGTTGGACAGCGTGTCCCCTGCCTCTGCCTTGCAGGAAGGAACTGCTGTTTTGCAGAATAATATAGGTAAAATATAGAAGAGGCTTTTCCGACATTAGTGCTTTCACAATGTGAGCTCAGGGCCGTTTGACGAGCTCCCTTTGTGGCCATCGAGGAAATGAAGGGCGACCCGGGGGCAGGTTTTACCGACGGACCCTAAAGGACTCTAAATGTCTCCCCTGAATCGTCGCGTGTGAGAAGATTTCCTGTAGCTCACTCACTGTCTGGAAGTAACTATATCCTCAAAGGGGGATTGACACGCAATACCGGTATAAAAAAAAAAAGGCATTGCACCTGTTGCTGCAAGGGGCGGTGTCCATGGGTGGCTTTCCATGCTCTCTTTTTGAGGATTTTCATCAATCAAGGGACAGGCAGGTGGAACAGTTGCAAATAATTTATTTTAGTACCTACAGTATGTTGTTTACACAAAGTCTGGATGTGAAATGATATATTAAACTTTTTGACAAATAACTGAAAAATAATGTCTTTTTTAACTTTTTTAGCGCCACCTTTCTCTGCGATTATAGCTGCAAGTCACTTTGGGTATGTGTATCAGTTTTGCAAATTTAAAGACTAAAATTTTTGCCCATTCTTCCTGCAAAACAGCTCGAACTCAGTGAGGTTGGATGGAGAGAGTTGGTTAACAGTGGTTTTCATAATCCACAGTTTCTCGATTGGATTAAAGGAATAGTACACCCAAAACATGATTAGCCTTCATTTTCTACTCACCCCCATGCTGAACAACACTCTGGAGTACTTTTTTGATATCTCAAATGCATCTGGAGATCTGGGAGGCTTCTTGCTGTCTGCTGACATTCAAATAATGGAGGTCTATGGTGCCCGAGACAGAAAGGTCCACAAAAAACGTTTCAATATTCCTCCATACTGCTCGTCCAATGTATTCCAAGTGTCCTGAGTGGGTAGCATCCAGAATTTACTCGAAACGAAGTCATTTAGAATGTTTTTAGAGCATAAACAGTAGTGTATAGGATTTCCTGAAAGCGCGCACATGCGCGTTCACGACGCTACGGAAGCCGGCAGACCAAACCAGCGCATTCAGCTCGGCAAAGAACTCATGCTCTTCCTCAACACTGAAGTCCTCAGACATTTTTCTTTCGTTGTTTCTTTCTTTGCACAGGTAAACAGCACATTTCTTCTTCTACGCTTGCATTATCGGCAGAGCAGACGCTGAATGCGCACTTTCATCTGGCTTGGTCTGCCGGCTTCCGTAGCGTCATGAACGCGCAGGTGCGGTTCAGGCCAAAAATTCAACATAAGGTAAACAAAAAGCAAAAAAAAAAAAAAAAACATATATAATATAAACACACATACATGTATACAGTACATACACATATATATATACATATACAAATACATACCTTAGGAATACCGATAACAGAGCAGATTGCTCTGTTGTTTTTCTGTCAAACATATTGCTTTGCATTGTTGCCAAAAAACATGAAATTATCGATTTTAAAATCCAATTTCAAAAGCATTTTCTAATTGCACTTTTGAATTGAATTATTAATGAGTAATTGTAAATTGTAATTATTAATTCATTAATAAATACTGGAATATGAACATATATTTTCAAATCCTATTTGTAGACCGGGATGAAAAAAAATCTGATAAATCTATATACCTTTCTTAATCACACATTTAAAAAGGTATTTCCTTATTCCATTTACATTTTTTTGTATTTTTAAATCATTTTTTAAATTGCATTTTCTTTTCACCATCCCCTCTGGAGCACAATAAAAAGCCGTTAAACTCTTCAGCTAAACTGAATGATCAATGAGAGAGCTGGTTTAATCTGAGGAGCAACTGGGATTGCTTAAACTGGTTTTGATCTCCGGTTACATGATGGATCTTTAGGAATTGAAATCATATTTAATGCAGAAAATAGAAAAATCTATTTTTATAACATAGCTCTAGACTCCAGCATCTATGCGTGGTCTGCAGAATTGAGCTTAGGTATGGGTGTGTTTGCAAATGGGTTCTTCCTGGTCTGTTTGCATGTGTTCCCTGTGCATGGATGGATCCTCTTCTTGAGCTTTGATTTTCTTCCAGCAATGTTAGGTTAATTGGTCTTTCCAAGTTGCCCTTAGATGTTGCTGTGAAGTGTTGCCTGTCCCAAGTGTCTCTGTGTTGCCCTGTGATGGACTGGTGACCTGTCCAGACCCTGTGACCCCTGTGATCCTACCTCTCATTGACTGCTGAGGACAGGAACCAGCTCTCCCATGACCCTAAATGAGTCAGCAAGTGTAGAGAAATAAAAGATGTATGACGTAATGCAATTTTTATGTTATTTATGTTTTTCTCTGTACTAACTTTTAGATGATGATCCCATTCAGGTCTGTTGTTTCAGTGGCTAAGAAGGTAATTTGTCTTTCTCCTCTGTATTTGATCATTTCTCAAGTCTTAACAAGCTTTCCAAACTTGTCTGTTGTCAAATTACTAATTAGATACTTTGATTTATGTGTTTTTTGCATTATCCTTCTTCCCAAAGTTAAGTTTTTATGTCCAAGCCTTTTCACTAATCCATCCATCAAGATTTAATATTACTTATGGTAAAGATGTGCAGAAACTTTCAGATGAATGAATCCAGTGTTTTTCAACCCTGCTCTGCATGTTTTAGATGTTTCTCTGCTTTTCAACACACCTTATTCAGATGATTGCAATTCGGCAAAACGTATTAATGTGCTACCATTTTATATCAGATGTGTAAAATCTGGGAAATATGCAAGATATGCGGTGCAGTGTGCCTTAAGGAGCAAAGTTGAAAAACACAGAATTAATCAAAAAATGTTTAAGTCAAACATTTAAAATTTGTAATTAATTGGGTATAAAAAAATCAATAAAAAACATTGACTAATTAGAATCGTTTTATCTTAAGCTGATGATAGAAACTTTTAATTGGTGATCCTTCCACTGTTTTACTTTGGTGCACATATGAATTGAAACAGAAAACCATTTTTTGATGCCATTTTTTAAAGCTGCAAAGTCAAGAGGCAGGTGTGTGCAGATTTTTTGTAAGTCAGGAAAAGGGTTTAAAACAATATATTTAAAGTATTAGCAGAAATATACATTTTAAAGCAATTAGAAGTGGGATGAGCTGGATAAAGACCTTTATTTATCTTCTCTGCTAAACAGAGAAGAAGATATTACCAGAATATAAGAAATCTCCAAAGCTCAACGTTAGAGAATGCACCAAAGATTAGCCTCTTAGGGTAAGGCATCTACATAACTGTTATAACACAAACTAAATGCCAACAGGTTGTTTTAAGCATATGCACTTCTGCTCTCATTAAAATCTTACTATGTCTTTAGTGCATTCGGTTAAATAAACATATTTTTCAGGTTAGTCTGGTGTAAAGCGACCAGCTCACTGCCATGTATGGTGGAAAATATGTGATGCTGTGGGCCTTTTTCTCTACTAAAATGTCTGGGAACCTTGTCTGATTGCATACCTTCATCAAGTCATTAACATGTTAAATAGAAATCTGGTGGACTCACAGGAAACTTTGTCTCTAATTGTGATAACAGTTCAAAACATTACTCTAAATCAACTAAGAGATGGCTCCACAGACACAAAATAAACTTTGTTGAATGGTTATGTCAACCTCCTGACCTACTGAGTTAAAGAGAACATAAGAAGGAGAGGACCATAAAAGTCTGTGACCTAGAGATATTTCCCCAAGGTTCCCTCACTTTGTTTTCCACAACTAGTTCAGGATTCCTTATTTTCAGTCCTCGAGTTCTGGTGT